AAAAAGCATTAGAAATCTATCAGAATTGTCATTCAATGTCAAGCAAGCCGTGTACAATGAAAACTACATTGACACGACTATTAATAATTATCAATTTTATTTTTTAATTATTAAATTACTTTTACATTAAAGCGGAGAAAGAAAGTTCTAACAATGTTTTTAACTGGACATTTTCTAAACGTAAAACTGAAGTTGTATTACAGCTGTTTTCCAGAACTTATTCACATACAGATAAATAGAAAGATATTATTTATTAATATTTTCAGCCATGATCGTCCCACTGCAGGGCAAAGGCCTCCCTACCTCCTTCCACTCCTCTCTATGTAAAGCTTTTTGCATAATAATAATAATAGAAAGATAGATAAATATAAATGGCTGCCTCGTTAGCCGAGTGGTCGCAAGTGCGACTGCCGGGCAAGGGGTCTCGGGTTCGATTGTTGAGTCGGGCAAAGTATTACTGTGTTTTTAAAAAAGAATCTCAGTAGTAGTACGGAGTCTGGAATTGTGCCCGGTGTACAGCAATAGGCTCACCTCCTATTACATGGGACTTATATCATAAATAGGGAAAAGTGGATGTTACATTGTACAGTGGCATTAAGTGCCGTAATGTGCACCTCTGCCCACCCCTTCGGGGATAGATGACGATCGATCGGAATTGCATTAAATCAAGAGTAAGTTCTCAGGTGATCCGTCTCCTCATTTGGCGTCCCACATCACTACATAGTATAAAACAAAGTCGCTATCTGCCGTCTGTCTGTCCCTATGTATGCTTAGATCTTTAAAACTACTCAACGGATTTTGATGCGGTTTTTTTAATACATAGAGTGATTCTTAAAGAAAGTTTATATGTACCATGCGAGGCCGGGCCGGGTCGCTAGTCATAAGTAAATGTGTTAATCTCTAGCCACCTTCTCTTGAATAACAGCCGTGATATACAACCGACCTTGCGCCAAGGTGTCGCAGAATTATATACTGACAGCACCGCTTCATACGCCTGTCCATCGACGTATAATTTTCTACACGCGACATGCTACCAACGTAATTATTAGCACGTGGTTCGTACGTCTATATAAGAAATACTGTAGACTTTTTGAAGGAGACAAGGTGATGTTTATTTTTTTGTATGGTATTTTTTTAAGGGGGGGAAATCATCGAATGACTGCTCCCGCCTGGGTGAGGCGGGAGGGAGTGTCAGACTCTTACTGACTAAAAACCACCCCGTTCCTTCTCCTGCACGTCGAGCCGGAGCCTCGGTTACCCGTTAGGTTCTCCGCGACTTTTGTATGGTATAAGCCGGTAAACGAGCAGACGGATCACCTGATGGTAAGCAATCGGCGTCGCCCATGGACACACGGAACACCAGAGGCGTTACAAGTGCGTTACCGGCCTTTTGGGGATTAAGAGTTTGAAGAACGTTGGGGATTCAGGGATTGGGGAGATTGGAAAAGGGATTGGAGTATATGGCAATAGGCGCACCTCTGCCTACCCCTTTGGGGATAAAAGGTGTGATGATGTTATGATTTTTTTTTAATTTTTACGAGTAAGAAAAAAACCAGTAAAGAATTTTCTAGAGCGCGTTTAAAAATGAACTGTCAAATATTCATAATTCGAACGCCCGCCATGCTCTCGTTTAAAGCGTACCATAAACACTTGACATAGACAAGTTTAGTAAAAACTGTTTTTTATGTACTTTCTAGTGTTAAAGTTATGCTTTAATGTGTTTTGCTGAAGAAACTCAGTTATAACTGTTGTCCTATGACTAAACCATTTTACACTAGTTGTAGTTAACTTCGTTTAATGAAACCTGGTTAAAAATTAACTGGACTTTATTTTTATTATATTTGATGGGCCGACGTTTGCCCACTATCTCGCCTGGTGGTGAGCAAAGACAGTTTTCTTTGATTTTCTACGAAACAGTGTATTGTGACGTCACGTGTTTTTAGCGTCAAACAGCATACTTATTTCTTGAAAATTTGCTGTAAAAATACTAAAATTAAGTTGATCATAAAAGTGTGATTATTTTTCAATATTTTATTGTATTGAACAGTCGAAATAAGCAGTTTTTGATTAAAGAAAGTACCCATTTAAAAAGCCACTACCACAAACATACTCCAATATTAAAAAAAAAAACAAAAAAAAAGAAACTATAACGATTTCGAATTGTAAATTTAAATTCAAATAGTGATGTTTAGTTAAGCTACCGTAAGACATGGCGTGTGCCACAGAGTAAATAAGTGATACGCAGAATCATACGTACATACGTAGGTAAAAACCAATGCTTTGAAGTGCTTAACAAATATTGACTTACTCTTTTCTCTCTAAAAGTCCATTTTTAATAAAACCTTAAACGGTAACTAGGTTTTGTTGCCTGATCTCGTTTTAAGTGTAATGTTACGGTTTTTTCGCTCGGTTTAATATGGGATAAGCCGGTAAACAAGCTGACGGATCACCTGATGGTGAGCAATCGGCGTCGCCGATGGACACGCGGAACATTAGAGGCGTTACAAATGCGTTATCCTCCTTTTGGGGTTTAGGAATTTGAGGTTTGTTGGGGATTCAGGGATTGGACAGACTGGGGAAGGGGGTGGTAATTAGGTCACCGGTATCCTCACTCACACGACGAAACACAACGCATGTGTTGTTTTACTATGGTTTTCGGCTCACTGGTGATATCACTCCGGTTGAGCCGACCCATTCGAAGCATGACTCTCCCACACATAAAAGACTTAGCTACATTCGCTACAATTTAAAAGTCAAGTCTTCAAAGATATCAAAGACTACTGCTGTCCAACCTCAATCAAATCAAGTCGGGTGTACGACACCCACTGGAAGACTAACGTTGGTGACAAATATATTCAACTGTTAAGTTTACAAGTAAATTTATATAAGTATATCCGGACACAGATCAGTATTTTATAAGTGTTAAAATGCTAGACAAATTTTTCCTTAATGAATAAAAAAGTTGGTAAAAAATGGCTACCGTACACTAATCGTTTAGCTATTAAAATTATAGGTATGTCTGTGTTTCTGTATGATTTAAAGTCTACAAATAAAAAGTAAGGTTGGCGCGACTTAACGAGTTGCCGGGGCTCCGGCTCGACGTGCAGGAGAAGGAACGGGGTGGTTTTTAGTCAGTAAGAGTCTGACACTCCCTTCCGCCTCACCCAAGCGAGAGAATGCATTCAATGATTTTCCCGCTTAAAAAAAAGCTTAATTTGTTTAGTTACGCAGTGACTGGCCGTCACTGCGTAACCTCACAGAAAACCGACGTGAAATAACGCTTGCGTTGTTACGTCGTATGAGTGAGGTTACCGAACGCCCAATTAATAACTCCCCAATCCTTAAATCCTCAAATTACTAGTCTCCAATAGGCCAGTAACGCACTTGTAACGCCTCTAGTGTTCCGTGGGGGCGACGCCGATTGCTTACCATCAGGTGATCCGTCTGCCCGCTTACTGGATTATCCCATAAACAAAATATTTCGACTTTGACATAAAATAGACGAATTAAACACAGATTACATTACTCGACCACCTACTAAGCCCTAATTCAAACTGATCGAGTAAAAAATGACGAGATTCCGTTAAAATCGAGTTTTTCATCGTTAAAATACACAATACCCCGTTATAGTATAGACCATGTTTGTCAACTAATATTGACATCGAAAGTCGCCATGTTTGTTCAGAGATTTCGCGCCAACTACGCTCGTTTACTTGTCTATGGTTTTTATTTTTTTTTTGTTTGAACATCTGTGGTACTTGTTTTTTGGATTGTCAGATTTGTGGATTTTGTTAGATTTTATGATGATTGGACATTGCTTTTTATAATGTTCCGTAGTTCTTTCCGTAGATCTAAGTTTTATTTGGTAAGTCAAAAAACTTATTAGTGATATATTTTGATAGTATAGGTAAGAACCGCCAAATTAAAGTCAAAAAGTCAAGGCAAGGGGTTTCGGGTTCGATTCCAGGGTCGGGCAAATTATTACTGGTTTTAAAAAAAATCTCAGTAGTAGCACGGAGTCTGGAATTGTGCCCGGTATATGGCAATAGGCTCACTTCCTATTACACGGGACTCATAACATAAATAGTGAAAAGTGCGTGTTACATTGTACAGTGGCATAATGTGCACCTCTGCCTACCCCTTCGGGGATAAAGGGCGTGATGCTATGTACTTAAAATTTATCTGTTGATTGACAATTCGGCCCTAAATTGTCTAAATTCAAAAATTAATATGTTTTTAATTACAATTTATCATTTCTACTACACTCTTACCATTAATTCTAAAATGATATAAACATAAATAATTACTTACTATGCCTGATTTATATTATAAACTAAAAATACTCAGTCGATTTTAGACAAAAACGGCTGTAAAAAAAACTGAAAGTTGTTCTATTCAAGTTTTGAAAGTAGATCTAGTCTTAATTTTAAAATAAGTATTTTTATTAATTTGTTCCTGACATATGACTAATCGATGCTATGTAATGACTGTAATGAGTAAAAATATTTTGACATTCACCCTAATTGCAATAAAGAGTGTTATAAAAACTAAATTTACATTCGTTTGTGTGTAGATTTCATTTTTATTTGCAAGATGTATTAATTAATTAAAACTAAGCGAATGTCAATATTAAAAAAAACATTGAGAACAGTTTATTAGTCAACAACGCCATCTACCTTCAGAAAAGAGCAGTAATTCGGTAAACCACCTAGCGGCGAATAGCGGAACTATTTTTGTTCCGACGACGTAACTTTGTAACGGCGTCTTTTTGTTCCTTCTTTCGATTTTTATGGTGTTGTTAAAGTTTTAAACATTCATTTGGAAGTTTATTAATTTAAACTAAACCATAGTTAGTTTTGCTAAAATGGAACCTTAACGTTCAACAAATAAAGTTCATTCTTGTCACAGCACTGCATCAACGCAGTCAATGTGACTAGAACATTTTGTTTTTGTAAAATAAACCGTAACACTCAACTAACAAAGTATAATTTCCTCCACAGTCGTTGATGCGGTCTATGTCAGTGGAGCAACGCTGGCAAGACCTGGCGTCTCTGCTGACCATCCCCCCTCCCCCTCCACCGGACCAGTACCAGCACTACCACCACCACCACGCCCACCAGCATCCTCATCCACATAACATTGCGTGAGTATTTTAATTTATTGATATTTATGACATTTTTTGTTGACTCCTCGTTGGCCGAGTGGTCGCAAGTGCGACTGACGGATAAGGGGTCTCGGGTCAGCCACAGTATTACTGTGTTTTTAAAATAAAATCTCAGTAGCACGGAGTCTGGAACTGTGCCCGGTATATGGCAATAGACTCACCCCCTATTACATGGGACTATTACCTAAATAGTGAAAACTGGGTGTTACATTGTATAGTGGCATTAAGTGCCGTAATGTCCACCTCTGCCTATAAAAGGCGTGATACATTTATATGCAGCCTTTCTCGATGTTTTTATTGGGGCCAAACCTCCCGAAACCGCTACAACTCCTGTACACCAGGATCTGTCGTTGATACAACCATGAAAACACCGGAACACTGAAGTCCAAACGTCCCAGGGACATGAATATCTGTCTTTGTTTCCGCAATGAAGTGAATCAGAAGATAGGTATATAATACATGACTAACATTATATATTATGATTTCAGTGCCCACGGCGCCGCGGGCGGCTATGGCACGAACTACCACGCTGCCATTCCTCCTGTACCCGAAAAACATCCTGAAGCCTATGGTAAGTTACAGAACAGAAATGAATGACTTTAATTTTCACGATTCTTTTTTTTATGACTGCCGGGCAAGGGGTCTCGGGTTCGATTCCCGGGTCGGGCAAAGTATTACTTGGGTTTTTAAAAATCTCAGTAGTAGCACGGAGTCTGGAAATGTGTCCGGTATATGTCACTCCCTATTACATGGGACTCGTAACATAAATAGTGATAAGTGGGTGTTACATTGTACAGTGGCATAATGTGCACCTCTGCCTACCCCTTCGGGGATAAAAGGCGTGATGCTTTTAAAAAAATAATATTGTGGACTGTGTGATTGTACGATTGGCGTGATGGTGGCCTGTGAATTTTTACTTATAATCTTTTTATCGTGTCAGGAGGCGCAGCAGCACCGCTGGACGGTGCCTACAAGGTGGAAGCGAACCAGCACCCTCAACAACATGATCCACTCTACTATCAGGTAAAATAATGATATTTATTTCATGTTAATATTAATTTCCTGAACTACTGGTCAAATTTGAATAATTATTTTTGTGTTGGATAGTGCATTAGCTAAGGCTATAGGCTAAAACATCACGCTGCCATCAATCATCAAAATAGTAGCTGAGCAAAGCGAGTGAAATCGCGCAGAAGTAGCTAATACGTAATACAGGGATATTCTTTCGATCACCAGAGTGCTTACTCTTGAAACCAATCTCAATGTCAATGCAATTGCAATCCAATGAAAACTCAATAATTATTCAATGTCAACACAATACAATACAACTCCTATCGTAGCTGTTAAAACAGCATTCAGAGAGTACGGAATATAAAATCGAACTCAATACCATTTAGTTCATACAATATCCACGCAATACGGCTGCAATGGGCGCTAGTGTTGCAACTCAAGAGTACGACACAATATCAATGTCGATCGATCGGAATTTGATTCAAGAGTAAGCCCACTGGTCGCTTAACAGCATGGGTATTATAGCAAACATTGTCTCATAGAGCCCATTCTCTAGCAGTAAAAAATTACGGCTGGTTTATAAAAATCAGTTATTTCATTTACGTTATCTTGTCACACAGAACGCGTCAGCTGAAATGGCTGGTCCGACCAACCAGGATGGGTTTCTCCAGTCTATCCTGAACGATGAGGATTTGCAGCTCATGGACATGGCTATGAACGAAGGTATGTACTTATTTATATAAATAACGTTATAAAATTATAAAACTTAAAAATAAAACGATAGTTAAACAATTCAACACTATTTTTGCTGCGCAATGAACTACTAGCGACATCTATTTGCCATACAGTGAAGATGTGTAGTTCCAGTAATGTACCAATAGATGGCGCGCTTAATGTAATAGCTTATTTAACAATTCTTAACTTAGTCGGTTATTTGGACCTTCCATGTCCATTCATATATTAGGGATCTTTACATTCGGATAAACAATTTCTCATAATTATAAAATTAATATATTTTCTGTGTATGATTGGGTTACTAGATGTTTTAGTTTCATTATGAACTCCATAGATGGCGCTGATGTTCTAAGGGATTTTCAGACATACAACAATGACTTTTTATGTATGAAAGGTGACATTCTGACTACTGCGCATTATAATACCGTTCGTTCGTAAACATAGTTATATATTTCGTTTCTTAGAATTGATGACTCAAAACTGCAAGATAACATTACTAAACTAAAAGAATGAAAACTAAAACTCATTAATTTTAATCTTTTTAACACCTTTTACTGAGAAACAAATACCCAAAATAAATACTTTTAAGACTAAAATCAAATATAAAGAAACGTCCTTTAATGAATTTTAAGCCTTATCTCCTAAGTAAATGTATTCTAAAGTCGACCTTAAAGTTATTGTGATAAAGTTGGGAGTTGTTGACACAATTATCTGTATATAAGGTTTATTTTTGCTTAAATGCTTAAATTGAAATGTCATTGGCATAAGTCAGTTGTCTAGTTGTTCATGGTAGAATTATTTATTAACACTGTTTTTACCTACTGGAACATCTCACCTGGTGTACGATGATGTGACCTACGATGGAGCATGTCTACTTATAAGCAACGTCTAGTGGTGGGAGATTCATGTTTCGGCACGAATGGGCCGGCTCAACCGGAGTGATACCACGGCCTCACAGAAAACTGACTTGAAGCAATGCTTGCGTTGTGTTTCGTCGTGTAAGTGAGGTTACCGGAGACCCTCCCCTATCTCCCCAATCCCTGAATTCCCAACGATCCTCAAACTCCTAATCCCCAAAAAGCCGGTAACGCATTTGTAACGCCTCTGGTGTTCCAGGTGTCCATGAGAGACACCGATTGCTTACCATCAGGTGATCCGTCTGCTCGTTTACCGGCTTATGCCATAAAAAAACCTATTAACTCGAAACTAGAAGACATCCAAGTCCTTCAGGACATCCTTCAGGAAACACAGACTTTGGCAAAGAATTCTAGTCCTCAGTAGTTCGAATATGAAAGCTCGACACGGAACGATTCGATTTTTATACTGTGATCTCCAACCCACCTGTCTGCGGAGATTATGACAAACCCTCTTATGTAGAGGAGACTCAGTCCAGCTGCAGATTTTGATAGCTAGCCATTTTTCTCGAGATATTGTATAATGACTGCCTCGTCTCAGTAGTAGCACGGAGTCTGGAATTGTGCCCGGTATATGGCAATAGGCTCACCCCCTATTACATGGGACTCATAACATAAATAGTGAAAAGTGGGTGTTACATTGTACAGTGGCATTAAGTGCCGTAATGTACACCTCTGACTACCTCTTCGAGGATATATTAGGCATGGCAAGACATGATGTTATATTATCAATATATATATATATTATAAATACTGAAAAATTCTTTCAAAATTACATAATATATCTAAATGATTAAGATTAGAACGATTTATGTCATTCAAATATATACTTATTATATAATTTTATCAATTTAATGGATAATGTAATCTTGTTTTTTATAACTGCCCCATTGGCCGAGTGGTCGCAAGTGCGACTGCCGGGCAAGGGGTCTCGGGTTCGATTCCCGGGTCGGGCAAAGTACTTCTAGGTTTCAAAAATTCACAGGAGTAGCACAGAGTCTAGAATTGTGCCCGGTATATGGCAATAGGCTCACCCCCTATTACATGGGACTCATAACATAAATAGTGAAAAGTGGGTGTTACTTCTGTGTGCACCTCTGCCTACCCCTTCAGGGATAAAAGGCATGATGTTACGTTATGTTATGTACCAATGTGACTTTTCCGAGTTATATGTACTTTCTAAGATTATTTAGACACCACTGACAAACAGTGAAGGAAAACATCGTGAGGAAACCTGGACTTATAATTTCCAATTATAAGTTTGAAATCGCCAACCCGCGTTGAGCAAGCGTGGTAATTAATGCTCAAACCTTCTCCGTGTGAGAAGAGGCTTTGCTCAGCAGTGGGCATTTATAGGCTGTTGATGATGATGATTAGGTTGTCAATGTTCTACCAAAAATCTTGGATTATTTGTAAATATGTAGTCAAAGTCAAAATCATTTATTTCAATTAGATCAGAAAGACACTTTTGAAAGTCAACAAAAAATTAAAAGTGAAGCTATTTGCTCATTCCAAGGTGTTCCTATGGAGAAGAACGAGCAAGAAACTTCATAGGTTACTCTTTTTCAATCAGGTTCACAATACAATTCTCTAGTTACATAGTTTTGTTGTTTGGATTGTGCGAGAACAATGTAATACTAAAATCCAGTCAAAGAGATCGAAAAAGAATATAACCTTAAGGACAATAAATAATACAGTCTGGAGCTGACCAGTCCCAGTTGACGGCGCCCGTTCACGAACATGACACGTACACCAGCACCGCCCAACTCAACCATATTGTAGGGAATCGAGCGATCCAATGCACGTGCCACCGCCAATGAGACCTTTGAGTGAGCATGACAACTCCAAGCTGACACAAATGCATTCTACTAGTCTAATTTAATATTAATATTATATACATATAATAGATATAAACAATACCGTATATATGATCCCAAACACGTGTGTGTGACATATATATTGAATATATATCTATATAATATCAATACATAATACATATTAAGTATCATATCTTATTGCTACGCCAAGATAAAAATAATAATTCATGATTTCAATCGAATACAGGTGTCATAAGCTATCGCGATCGAATTTACACTTTATTATTGAAGTGTAAAGTCCATATTTGTATGTATTTAGCGTTATTTGGAATCAAGTTCATAATATATAGATGGTAATGTAAAATCGACTGAATTGTGAAAGGATAAGATATAGATTTGCGTGTTTATGATTTTATATGCATGTTTAAACTAGTTATTCGCGAGTTTATACTGGAGGAATCCGGTTTTTAAATTCTTTAAGGAAAATTCAGTATTTTATCTAGTAACGATGTCACTTGATTCTTTTTTAAACGTTGCTCCACAATAGGATCTTCTCCTGTGTCGTGAGTGCGTTAACAATCATACAAGTTCACATACACATCACACACAGACACGGAACTACAATCTGTCGATCACACAAAGAGTTATTCCGTGCAGGAATCGAACTCGCGACACGGTGCGTGGCAGCCAGTTACCCAGCCATCGCACTAACCGTGTAGATATAGATTTCTCATTTAGAATATGTCTTAAGTTTCAATGAACCATACCATACCAATGAACCATACATTACAAAATATGAAAATTCTTTAAAAGAAAAAAAAATGGTACAACGCCTTGCTATTTAGTCATCATCATCATTTTGATAATGATGATTATGAGCTTATAAGTAGCCACTGTTGAGCAAAGCCTCTTCTCACACGAAGAAGGTTTGAGCATTAATCACCTCACCTCGCTTGCTCAATGCGGGTTTACGGTTTCATATAATCAGAAATTATAAGACCAGGTTTCCTCGCGATGTTTTCCTTCACCGTTTGTCAGTGGTGTCTAAATAATCTTAGAAAGGACATATAACTCGGAAAAAGTCACATTGGTACTTGCTGTTGGTAGGTTTCGAACCCGCACCCTCGTGCATGAGAAACGGGCGTCTTCAACCTCCGGGCCACCATATTACACTTATTTATTTAGTAATTAGTATACAGGTAATAAAATAAAGATAGGTTCAGTACAGAGACAGTAGCTATTGTTATATCTAATTACCCCCTCCCACCCTTCCCTAAACCTTGAATCCCCAACGATCCTCAAATTCGTAATCCCCAAAAGGCCGGTAACGCACTTGTAACGCCTCTGGTGTTCCAGCAGCTGTAGCCAAATGCCATTTAGAGCTTGTCTACATGTAGAATAGAAAACCAAATTATATGGATATGACGTAAATTTTGACAATTATCAGTGTCATCCCCATACATTTTGATTTCTACTCTCTCTGTAGTCAAGTAGCATTTCACGGCATAAGCCGGTAAACGAGCAGACGGTTCACCTGACGCAATCGGCGTCGCCCATGGACACACGGAACACCAGAGGCGTTACAAGTGCGTTACCGGCCTTTTTGGGATTAGGAGTTTGAGGATTGTTGGTGATTCGGGGATTGGGGAGGGAGGAGGAGGGGGAGGGTAATTGGGCCTCCGGTAACCTCACTCACACGACGAAACACAACGCAAGCGTTGCTTCACGTCGGTTTTCTGTGAGGCAGTGGTATCAATTTTAGTAGAATGTACAAATAATGCTTGATAAGTTATTTGTGACTAAGTAAATCGACGATATAACGTAATATTACATTCCATGATTAAAATTAACAGTTAAACATGATTCATATATTTCGTTTAGTCACAATAATATGGTTGTAACGCAGATATTTATCGGATTATTATGTCATGTCATGTGACACTGAATATTGTATTTATACTGATATTTAAAATATAATAAACTGCCTCGTTGTTTAAGGATATGATGCGAATTTGGGTTTTACGTATTGTTTCACTAATACTGATAGAGAAAATATGCCTGTTAATATACAATTGTATCTCTAAGCAAAAATTATAAGTCATGTCTTTGAATTAGTAGGCATAATACGCATTTGATATGAAACTCGACAGGTGTGCTAGCAACCAATGCTTTCTTGATAGCTACAGGGTCATCATCAACAGCTTATAAATGCGCACTGCTGACCAAAGGCCTCTTTTCACACGGAGAAGGCTTGAGC